AGTTAAATAACAATTTAACAGTAGCTGAGCTACAAAAATGCCTGCAATTTCTAATTACGAATCCTAAAATTTGCATTGCACTGGAAACCATTTTTGTAATATGAGGTACAAAAGAGAACGACTGGTCAAATAAAATCCCCAGATCCTTAACAGTAGCAAGCCTAGTCAGGACAGTACCATCCATATTGTAATCAAAGACTACAGGAGTTTTTGTGCGGTGGTAAGAAACCACATTACACTTGCTAATGTTAAGATGCAATTTATTTCTAGTACACCATTGACTGACAATATTGATGTTGTCCTGGAGAGTCACGCAGTCCATGCCAGTTTCAATGCTCTCGTATAGCTTTAGGTCATCCGCATAGGCAAGCTTGTTGCAGATGATCGAAGATACGAGATCATCTATAAATATATTGAAAAGCAGAGGTCCAAGGTTAGAAGTTGGAACAAAAGAAACTGATCTAAACCCCTCAATCTCAACAAACTGTCGACGATTCACCAAATAGGACCTCAACACTGTAATCAGCGAATCAGAGAAACCAAATTTATGAGATGCTTTTTCAATCAGTAAGTGATGATCTATCTGGTCAAATGCTTTGTGGAAGTCAGTGTATATAACGTCAACTTGACCTTGCTTGTTCAGAGAGTCACAGACATACGAAGACAGGGAGCATAAGTTAGCGATACATGATCATTTCGCATAAAAACCATGTTGTTGCGTAGATAGTTTATTTCTAATTTGAGCAAAAATAAATTTATTTAATATAATCTCGAATATTTTAGAAAAGTTGCACAAGATCGAAATAGGCCGGTAGTTTTCAACAACAGAGGGATCCATAACACCATAACACTATTCCATAATAATAATAACATAATCCACACCATAACACTATTCCAGTCTGCATGCTGCATCAGTTCATACATATGAGGATAGTTGGCCTTCCTAAAGTTAAATTGGGTTTGATCATTCCTATTGATTGGAAAATTAGAGACGTGTGGAAAAGCGACTTGGAGAGAAACTATTAACGAGGGATGGTGTGGATCCTCGTCGATAAGTGGTACTGCGTTTCTCACTATCGCAACGTCGAAATTGGCAAAAACGAGATCTAAGCAACGGTGATTTAGGTTAGTTACAGAGTTTTGCTGTTTAAGATTCAATATGGCGCTGAGGTTGAGTAGGGATCTATGTCGGACATTAACAGGAGCTGAAACAGTGAAAGAAGGAATATTGAAGTCACCCAATAGCAAGACAGATCCACCAAACAACAAATCCAGCGACGACAAAGATTCAAAAAAGTTCTCAACTTCGAAGTTGGCAGCAGTGGGAGGAATGTATACTAAAAATACATAAAATACAAAGAAATCTAAAGTAATAATGAAAGTGTTTAAGAACAGCTATGTAGAGTGGATTTGCAGGGAAGTGTATGCGATCTATGAAGGAAAGATTCCGTCACTTGAATCATTGCAAACAGAAACTAAAAAAAAATAATCAGCCATCTTACACTTTAAAAGCATTTTCTCACTGAAACCTTTTTAGTAAATGTAACAAAAGTTATTAAAAGCTAAGCCTTATTCGAGAAATTTTTGTTTAATACTTTTTAACCTATCTATTAAGATAAGGGGATGGGGGTGATTCAATATTTTTATTAAAAAATAATAATAAACGACTGAAACAAACTTGGTCCGGTTAAAAAACTTTTATTACTCTATCAAACGGATCCTACTAGTAATATGTCTAGTTTTTAGTGATCCCACTAGAGCGCGTTCTTTGATATAATAACAGAAAATTGCAAATTTCTCTAAAAATTTAATATGACTTTTTTCAATAAGAATGTAGTGAAATGAGGCCTAAATATGCTAGTGAAAATGGTATCTTGATATCTTATTCCTAACCAAAAATATCGTAGTAAGAAAATTTAGTGATTATAAAATTTTATAAAATCGTTTTTGCACCGGTAATTATTCTTAAATATTCGTCTATTTTTACGATTGCACGTTAAAAGTTCATAATTTTGTGATTTTTAACAACTAAAAGTATTCATAATTTAAAAAAAAAGTGGATATTAGATATCAAGTTCTGTACACTCTTATAGAGACGTTCAATCATATCGGGAACTAAATCATTTGTAAATTTTAAGGCGTTATTTATGTGTTCAACAAACACAAATTTCAGAACCTCTATAATAAATATAATTTTAATACAAATTTGATTTTAGTCATTTGTTTTTCCGCCATATGCTGCACTTGCATAATATAATTTCTATGCCCCTAAGCGCGTTTCTTTTAATTTTTTTGAACTAAGAATTTTTGTAAAATTTCAAAATTATAAAATTATGAAATTTTTTATTATTACATTTAATGTTTTAGAAAATTTTGCAATGTGTTATCATATTGAATATCACACTCTAGCGGAATCACTAAGAATTAGACATATTACAAGTAAAACGGAGTAGATAGAGCAAACGCAACTTTTGTTCTTTTGTTAGCGAAACCAAGTTTGTTAAAATACGTTCAGCCATTCACTAATCACTTCACTAATATATTTTGATAGATATCTCAAAAAGCATTAAACAAAAATTCCTCATAAAAAACTCAGATTTTAATTATTTTTTTTGGTACGTTGACTAGGATTGAAAATTTACTTTTCATTTAAGGCGGCCGTTACGCCCCCTAGCGAGCCTCTTGAAAATGTAAAAGTATTTTCCACCATCTTCTTTTGCTTGTTTTCATAATAATTTTTTTTTACTGCAAATCTCTACCAAGAACCGCTTTCGAGACACAGCAATTTGCATTCTTATCTGACTACTCTGTACGTGATTATAGAGAAAAAAGGATGTCCAATTTGCTAGAGGGAGGGTTAAGTGCCAAACGCTTTGCCACTTGCAAAGGCTTAAGGACTGCCCATTAGACTATTATCGGGATATGAAATGCGAACATTTTGAAAATCGCAGCAGCTTCCAAAAAGGGGTATTTCAAGAGTTTCTTAGTCATCGTGCCTTTTACTTTGAAGGTACACAAAAAAACACTTTTTGAAGTTTTAAGAACCAAACTTTATAGTCTGTCGGACTATGACTAAAACGGATCAAACCCTGTGATAAATGTATCATGGCGCCAACTTTCTGACCTGAAAAAATCAGTTCAAATTTCGGGTTTATCCTAAACAAATTGCCTTCTCAAAGTGCTAATGAAATCCGATTTGAAACCGCAAAAATCCTTGAAAAATCAAAACCTCCCAAATCTAATATTCCAAGGCCTAAATTCATTGCTCTAAAATCTCTAAAATCTATTCCCGACATCGTAATTCTTAAGGCATATAACGGTGGTCATGAACAAAAATGAATATCAGGAAAAGATTCAAGATATTCTTACAGACGGATCTTATCGTCAACCTAAAGAAGATCCTACGTGCAACTGTCACCCCTCATGACTTTAAAATTTTGGTCTCTATTTACTCCTTCAGATTTACAAATCAGTATTACCCCTTCGACTTATTGTCAGCACCATTGTTTCTCCAACATGTTCTCTAGCAAAATATCTAGCCTCTACATGAAAACCCTTTACAGGGAAAACTGATAGTTCCGTACTTAATTTTTCATTTCATTATACAATTAAACAACATTGTATTAGATATTCTGGTTAGTTTCCACATCGAATCCTTTATTACTAAAATCCCTATTCCTGAAACTCTCAACATTATTTCAGATATATGGAACATATTTTTCTTATTACGGTCAAATTTTTAAACAAACGTCGCGAACACAAATGGGCGCTCCATTATCACCAGTCATCAAAAATATGTTTATGGGAGCTTTTGAGAAGAAAGCCCTCGACACCTTCCGTTTAAAACCAAAATAATTGAAATAGTTACGTTGATGATCCTTTTGTTATTTGGTCTCATGGTCAAGAATCCTTAATAGATTTTCTTAGCCATTAAGATTCTATACATCCTAAATACGTTTTTTCATTGAAATAGAAACTAATAATGATCTCCCATTCTTAGATATTCTCATCAATATAAAATCAGACCTAACATTGGGTCATTGTTCTTACAGAAACGCTCTGCATACAGACCTATACCTTAATGCATTGGCACTTCAGTATCTGGCTCTAACATCATTGGTTATCAACTCTCTTCTTTATAGAGCCATATAACTCTCACAGCCCGAGTCACTGAATCCATAATTAAAACACTTTACATCTGCTCTTCTCTCCAATAATTTCCACATTAAAGATATTAAGCTTTCCACCATAAAATACACTTCACCACAACCTTACTAAGATAATGAGTCCTAAAGTCACCCCACACTTGCCACTTTGTCCTTTCTTACATTCAAAACATCACTGACCACAACGCAATCACATAACGGGACATAAATTTTATTCCATAAAACTAATCAATCTATAGAAATCTATAAGCAACCAAACAATCTTGACCGCGACTCAGGTCTTTCACCAATATGAGAATCAGCCCCTCCTGCAGCTCCGCCCCCTTCAAACAATATATAAGCAGGAACAGAGTAGAATGCGAGTCAGTTTCAGCTTAGGTCTGAAGAAGCCAACAGAATGATTGGCGAAACGTCAGCAAGTTGAACAACAGCCGACGCAGGAGAAATTTACAAATTATTTGCAAATTGGAAAAAAAGACGTATATTCCGTGATCTATAGTGGTATGATGGTTGTTTTTTATTATGTTACAATGGTTGTACGTTTCAGGTTAATAAGGTAGTCCTATCTTTCTAAATTTGAAGCTCATAAGAGCGGCTTCAAAATTTTGATTTCCTGCTTGAACCATGACAAATCAGAACAATACCTATAAAACGCGAGTCAAATAAAAGCCCTTAATTGCCATACAGGGGAACATGTGCGTCGGTAAAGTGAACGAATCGGAGAGATAATCCGTCGAAGAATGAACGTTAATTGAGCAACAACGACACTATTTTAAACGTAAGTGGCCCTGTGGCCCCTTAACGACGTCCGCAACTTTATACGGTAGCGTGCAATAGACGTAATCGGACGTAATCTCGCGTTTGTCCATCTTTTAATTCCATTTTGTTAATTAATCGCGGTATGCGACTGCAGCGTTCGCCGTTAAGTTCGTTCTTTTGTCTGTCGAACGGTCGGCTATTTGTCGTGTTTGTCTTTGTCGCCGGCTGCGCATTGGCAAATGATTTCCTCAGCCCCCCGACGACCGTTAAAGCGAGGGAGAATAACACGGTCCTTTTACCATGTTACCTGGACACTTTGTCTAATGGTAAGTTAATAGTATAAGAGGAGCATGAATTATCACCAAAGTATGTATATCGAATTATTTTACTTATGGCTAACGAAATCACATCAATTTAATATCACATTTGCTGCACCAAAACAGGTTGAATAGATTTAATCAGTTAACATACAGACAGTTCCAAAGCTCTGCTGTACAGACACTCAGTCTGTACGTTTACTCAAACGATAGAGTAAAGTTCATTATCACCAAAGTTGTTTAAAGTGTTAAAGTGGCTCAAAAAAGTGTGGCGAATAAAAGTATTTTTGTAAAGGGAACATTCTATTTTTAAATTTTATTTTGAATTCGTTTCAACATTCTTCAACTTTTTTTTTATTATTAATAATATTTTTGTAAAAAAATAGTAGTTTTCACAAAAAAATGCGATAGCGCCATTATTTTTGATATTAGGGTTATTTGAAGATGACGTAAAAGATGGATGCAACTGAATTCGAATTTGATTCTACAGGGTATTCAAAATATACGAATATATTTAGATAATTTTAACTTGAATAATCTCAATTTTTCTTCTTCTTCATTATTTTTCTGAAAAATCTTACAAAATCATACAACTGTTGTTTTTTAATACTTTGCGATTTATTTTACTTTTTCCAATACTTATCATCCTTCTGTCTAATACTATTGCTATATTATTAGTTAGCCATAAGACAACTATCAACCAACAGGGCCCTATTAAGATTAAAAAATGAACAGGAAGCATAACTTTGTTGGAGAAGTAGACAAAGCAATAATTTTGCAGAAAAATTTAAATTAATAGAAAAAGTAAATAACATTGAATTTCTATTACTACAAATTAACTTATCCAATTTTCAATGGGAGCAGTTCATGTTCAAAAATATGCCCTTCTACTTGGATACACATGTTTATTATTCTCCTACACGCGTCCCGAATCCTATTTTCTTCTGGTGTTGCAGGGCGATTCACGTAAACACGAACTTTGACCTGTCCTCACAAAAAGAAATATAGGGGCCCATCCAATCACCACTTTACTGTACTTGGACGATCTATTATTAATAAAACTGTTAAATATATTCCACATTTCCGACATATATCCAACTATTTTTCGCAAACTAGGCCAAACAAGCTAAACAAAACTAAATGTTATTACAAAATTGTACCTAAGAATAGAGATTATGTAATGCAATACCGAATTTTGAATTTTGCAAACCAAGAAAATGTATGATCTCGCTTTAAATTCTGTCATTTTAAATTTCTGACTTTTTATAAACTTTAAATTCTCCTGACATTTAGAAAACAGAATATCGTCTACAGATATTTTGTTGTATCAGTGAAATACACGCATGGATCCTTTGGTATCCTTGGTGCTCGTCGTAGATCATAAAGTGCTTTCTGTAATTTACAAATTAGATTTTTGATATCGTCCCTCTGGAGGATAGATAAAAACAGGGTCTTCAGGTGTTCCATTTAGGAAAGCTGATTTAACATCCAACTGACATACATGTAGGTCCAATTCTACATACAAAGACAAAAGCAACCTTATACTTGACATTTTTGCTACAGGTGCATACACTTCATCATTAATCACACTTTGTTTAAAACCTCTTGCCACTAGTCTTACTTTCGTTTTCACTTGTCCTTCCACGATCTTTTCACACACCCACTTTGAGTCAATAATTTCTGTCCCTCTTGGCGGTACAACTAATGTCCATGTCCATGTTTCATTTTCTTTTAACACGTTTAATTCTTCTTTTATGGCATTTTCCCATTCACAATCTTGCACAACTGCTACTGAATATGATTTTGGCACATCTGCAAATAAATTTCCCGTTGACAGTGCAGCAAAGAAATTCTAGTTCTAGTTCTCGTTGTAAGTACTTTGGTGTGTTTATTTTTATTGTGCTTTTTTTTGTTGATCTATGTTTTTCCATTTGTTGTTCTTTTGAGCTAATTTCTTGTCATTTTCGGGGTTTTCTTCGTCGCTCTCACATGTAATAGGTTTTATTTGGTTTTCTAATTCCTTGCTCTGTTCATCAAAAATAATATTTCATCCCAGGTACAATCTTGCGTTCCTTCTCGTTCCACAATCGATATCCATTGTCTGCATATCTAACCATAATCATTTTTTCTGATTTTGAATCCAATTTTGATTTTCTCATTTCACTTTTGGTATTAAGTTGTATGCGTTACATCCAAACAATTTTATTTTTTCCATATTAGGTTTTTCCACGTTCCACATTTCTGCTGTAGTTTTATAATTTTCTAATGTTCTTGTTTTTAGTCTAATTATGAAATACACACTTTTTCTGACAGCTTCCCCCCCCTCATTTCGTTTCCTAGTTTTGCATCGAAAATTAAGCATCTTGCCTTTTCCATAATGGTACTGTTAAATCGTTCAGCAGTTCCGTTCTGCTCTGGAGTATATTCTACTGTATATTGATATTTTCTAATCACAAAATAATTCGAAATCTCCTGAAACATGCTCTCCCCCGTTATCGCACCACAGTTTTTCAATTTTTGCACCAAATTTTGATTCTACCATTATCCCATAACTTTTAAATTTTTCGAAAACTTCGCTTTTGTTGCTCAATAAATAGGTAACACAAAAATGTGAAAAGTGGTCAATGAATGTCAGGAAATATGACTTACCATCATGAGTGGTTTTATTGGCCCACAAATATCCTTTGACACTGTTACCAAAATTTTGCTTTTCTTTATTGGTGAAGGTCTTGATATGGTACTTTGGATTGTTTTGCTTCGCATAAACTTGGAGATGGGAACTTTGAGGAATGTCCCATTTTTCTGCGTCTTAGGATTTTTTCTTCTTCACTTGTCAAATTTGCAAACATATTCTTATTTGAATTGATGTTAAGAAAAAAGAGTTTTCCTTTTAATTTTCCTTGTACCACACATAGTTCGTTTTTTACTATGCTTACTTTTTCTTTTCTAAAATACACTTCCGGCCCACTTTCTTCTAGTTTCCTCAATGACAATAAATTGTAAAGTAAATTTTTACAAATCCACATATTCTTAATTGTGATTTCCTTTCCGGATTTTGTTTCTTCTTCTAGATTTTCCTGTTTTGTTGCTGTTATTGTTTGTCCCTGTTTTGCCACACTAATCTTATTCTCAATTTTTTTGCAGTCTTCTAAAAACTTGGATAAATTTCCTTTAATCAAATGATTTGTTGCCCCACTACCACAAAACTTATGGTGTTTTGATTCGATACGGATAATGAATTTTCTGTTGTCAAAAATGGAATGTGTTTTTCTTCCATTTCAGTAGTTTTCTTTGTATTATTAGCAATATTTCTCTGATTACAGCCTCCTCTTCTAAAACCTCCTCTCCCACTGCGGTACTGTACTGTACCGATTCATAGGGAAATCTGCTCTTTTATCTCCAATCTTATTGCATAAATGGCACCGAAATGAATAGTTTTCCCCACTGCTATACCCTGTACTTGAAGTTGTATTATTTCTCTCATTTTATTCACCGCTACTTTGACTAGAACGGGCACTATGTGTTCCACTAGACCTCCTCCAATTTCCTCTTCCCTTGTGGTTTCTTGACATAAATGCCGTGTTAGTAGTTCCTTCTTTTAAGTTTGCCTGTCTGGATTCTTCCATAAGCAATTTGTTTTTCACAAAATCGATTTCAATTGCCTTTCTTCTGCCATTGTTGATAATAGCTGTAGGATTAGTTCGTCTTTATCAATTTTTCCACCTTCTAACTCGCATACTGTGTCATCAAAAGTAGTAAAGAATTTACTTAGTGATGTTCCTTCTATGTATCTTAAATCTCTAAGCTTCTTTTGTAACATTTTAGGAATCCCTTTCTTTGCATATGTATTTTCCAGGCCTATTATTATTTCTTTTTCTGTGTTTTTTGTCTTTCCGGATTCCAAAATACCCTCTGACAAACAGCGCCTTTGTTGTTCCAGCAATAGCTTAATTCTAAAATCCCAGTTTGAGTAGGCACTACCATCAAATGGTTTGACACAAAAATTCGGATTAATATCTCTTGAGGCAATTTTCATTTTTGCGTTCTGCTTCCCTGTGTATTCTTTCCGCCTAAGCGTCACCTCTTAAAATCAAGTATATAAATCGTATCATTTAATTGAGCTTTAGGAAAATCCATGCTTAGTTTAGTTTTTATATTACTGACACTGAAATAAATGTTATGAATTTATTTACTCTGTTGTGAGATAAAAATTAGACAATTTCATTTTGCCATGGCGAACTAATGTTATAGTAATAGTCTTAAACAAAAAGAAGGGTAAAAATTGGAAATGCTAAAATAAATCGCAAAGTGTTAAAACATGTATACGAGGTGTGTTCAAAAAGAAAGTGATTTTTCAAATTGGGCGGGCTACATACATTCGATCTTCGATATTTTTTTTGTTATGTTGGTTCACATGTCCCTAACATATGTTCACAGTTTCAGCCAGTTTACTTTTTTTTGTGAGACAGAAGCGTTAGACGTGTTTTGTGTGCTTCGGCTAGGCGAATACAGTGTTGCAAAACACTTGAAATGTTGCAAACGGCATATAGTGAATCTACTGTGGGCAAAAAATGTTTATGAGTGATGGTTGACAAGACGCCGATGACGAACCTCGCTTTGTACGCCCCAGCACGTCAATAACTAATGAGCATTGAAGAAGTGAAACAAATGGTGTAGAAAAATCGTCGCATCACTATTAGAGAAGTGGGTGAAGAAGTCGGTATCTCTATTAGCTCATATCATACAATAATTTCCGAAGTTTTGAGCATGAAACCTGTAGGGGATTTATAGATCATTATGGAATTGAAAGCGCATGTTCGATGATTGTCGATGGTCCCATGTGCCTTCGTGTTTAAAACTGAAATTCTAGTTACTTCCGAAAGTTGTTGGTTTTTCTTGAAAATGTGTTTAGCGTGATCAAAACTCAACATTCGGAGTCGAAGAGGTGCAGGAAGAAAATAAATTGTAATAAATGAAAATGACAAGACTGCCGTCGGAAAAATAATTCACTCGTTTTACTTAAAAAAAAACTACCTTAGTCAAAATAATGTCTGAAATGATAATGGATGATTCTAGAAAGCTTTGGAAGAAATGAATACCCTCTACGAAATCACTCAATCAATCAAATTTAAGAGCGATAAGATAGTTTAAAGACTAATTGCAACAAATGTTGGATCTTATTAGTCATGGGTCCCTTCCAGCTACCATAAAAAATATCCGAAAAAATAACCACTTCTTCTCGAAAAGCAAAAGAAGCACTTTTAGAAATATATGCCGAACGAGAAGCTACTGGAGATTGTGAATTTGAATAAACCTCTTCGATACAAAATTTGTTTTCGACGAAATTGCTTCAAGTCGAAATATTGCCTTTCGCATGTCACTAAGAATTGTAAAATGGAGTAAGTTGCACCACATGTAACTGAAATAAAAGAAAGAAGCGGATAACATGCTAAAAAATACTGTCAAGCCCTTGATTACTTTTATGGACTCTAACGACCATAGTTCATCTGAGTAATCGGAATATGATGACAATCTCAATTATCTGCTCATCTCTGTAATTATAATCACAATCAATTTATTATTCTAATACACTACCTGTAGCAACACCACTGGCACAATACTTTTTTCACTTTTTCTTTTCATTTCATCTTTCTATTGTATAAATAATAATTTTAAACATAATTTAGGAACCATTTAGGTAGGTGTTAAAAACCGAAATACCTAGAAAAATAATTGCAATTTATCTGAACTTTACAAAATAACGTTTAATTGTTCCACAATGTTGAATGATCCCCGTCACTGCAAATTTACATTTTCAGGCATTTAGAAACTAGGTTCAGACAAGGCCATAAAACTAGACACAAAAATGACCCTTATACTTTTTTCCTAGAAATCATCATCATTCCTAAGGTATAGAATAGAATAGAAACGCATTTATTTTTAACTTGGCGAAGGACAGCATAGCTGTTTCCTTAACGAAGCATTCATAAGCTACAACACAAAATTTAAATTAATAATGTTTAATTACAAATTATGAAATACAATTTACATAATCCAGCATTCATAGCATCGCGGCCAAAAATTGTGCAATATAATAGATATAATTAACCAACTAATTTTCAATAAAGCCCAAAACTCAGCTGTATCGATTAGTCAAACTTTAAACCTCTTTTTCAAGGTTTCACATGTAAAGTTCAAAAAGTCGCTACGCAATTTAGGGTTAACCAGTTTGTGTTTGTCGCGGTATGTTGAATAGCAGATAATAAAATAGGCCATTGTGGAATTAAATTTCCAAGTATTTTATACAGATAACAGGGCACAACGGAGCTTTAATGGATCTTAAGATTAAGATAAGGTTAGTACTAGAGTTTGTACCGGTTAATATTTGTGTGTGTGACAAATGTGTTGTATTTGCAATAAACTGAAGACGAAAGTATTACCTTAGTTGTGGAATGAAAACTTATGTCGAAGCAAGCATCCAAAGAGGTTGTGAGTTTGTTGATTAGCTGAGAAGCGAATATATTCGAGGAAGACATGACTGTTAAATTCGACTCTGAAGAGTGTGAATTAGATCGCACAGCTGAATGTGGTGGTAGAAGAGTATACTTGTCACGCTCAGTCTTGCTCAATTAAATTCAACACATTCGCACATCTTCATTTAAACACTTCAGCAAGACGAAGATACAGAAGAAGAAATCAAACAGGATATGACCGTTGAAAAAAATTTCCATTAAAATGTTAACAGAAATCACGAAGTAAATACAGTATTTCCATAAAAAAAAAGCTCACCAGGTAGTGTGAAAACCTTTCGCCTAAAAAAAAGGGTTTTTGTAGATGATCTACAATTGGTATCCAAAAAAATTTTTTATTAAACTTTGTCAAGACAAATCTATAAAAACAAAAATTTGGCCCTTGACCCCAAACAACATTTTTAGCAATTGAACTGAGGTGGTGTTTCGACAATAACTTTGATAAAATATTTGATAATGACGCGGTGTAGTCGAAACAATTATCATGTGAATATATATAATTTCGTGAAAATCTGACCTTTTAACTTTTTTTAGATCGATGGACTGTTCTTTCACTTTATTTATTATGGTCTACCAAAGTTATCGACCACTAGGAATTTTTATTACTTGTCTCATCAACATTGAGATTTACAGAGACCTATGAGAATCGAATGACTAGTTCACGATATAAATGCCGGTTTCGTCATTATTAAAAACACTATATGGCACTTAAAAGTTACTAAAAATTTAACAAAACATTTTGTGCCAATGCAAATTACGAGCTTTTCGGTACAGAAACAAGAATAGCAGCAAAGTTCAGAACAAACTACATATACTAATAAATAATTACACACATTTCTAAGAGTCCACAAGCTACTGTAATACTATTTATAAATCCACTGTATTCCTCCTATATCTGTTAATGAATCAAACTTACTAAACTGAAATAGTTTCAGATTCAGTTAAACATAATCTCTTGGAATAATCGCTTCAGCCGGTCAAACTGTAAACTGTGCCTTCAATGCAGAATTGTTTGTGGATTCAAGCACAAATAAGTGGCGTATGATATTGTGCACATAATTATTGTATCCTCATATTATCCTATACTATCGAAACAAGCACAGGTCATACCTCAGGCTAGAATAAAAACACCTAAATTTGAATTCTATTAGTATTCTGCTTACACTCTCCAAGATTATAAAGAAAATATTGTAGAAGCAAATAAAATTATTTTTCAATATTTTACATCCGAAACAATCGGGTTTAAGATCTGGTTGTAGTTGTGAAAGGCGCTCTTGCAGATGCAATGAAAGATATTTTTAAGCTTTATGTTAATAACAAAATTACTGCTTTGGTTTTACTTCATTTTACCAAAGTCTTTGACATGATATTTCATTAAATCCTCACTTCAATTCTTCATCACATAGGATTCAGCGAAATATCTTGTAAACTTGCATCGTCCTTTTTAAATAACAGAACACAAAAAGTAACACTTAACTAATCAACCTGTAGACGTCAGGCTGTTAACAAGGGACTACCCCAGGATAGTATTTTAAGTCCACTTTTGTTTACGGTTTTTGCATCCAACTTTAAATCATTTCAGTTTTGCGATTATCAGCTTTATGCCGATGACACTCACCTGTACTTTCCTTTTACTGAGAAATGTTTTACCGAAACAAGTCACAATAGTATTTGAACAGTATTTAAAAATGGCAATCAAATTGATAATATTCAAAACAACGTAAAATTATCTTTAAAGAACCCTCTTTTGCCTTTTTGTGGGAGTTGCAAAAGTTTAAGACCTACTCTAGATTCTCGGCCACTGTTTCTCACAGAGCTTCTTTCTGATACTCTAATACGATCACAGTTTAATCATTGTAAAACGGTATTCATTCCGGGATAATATAGAAAAGTATCGCATTCAAAAAGTTCAAAACTCCTGTTTTAGATTGATATACAGAGTTGGACGTGGAACTCATATTTCACCATATATGGTTAGGTCAAGTTGGTTGAATATGAGCAATCGATAAAAACTTCACGCGTTGCAAAATTATTCAGTGGGAGACACCGCCCTATCTGAATCAAGATTATAAAAATTAAGAAATAAACCAAAAAAATGACAAACCTTTCTGCAAAATCTGTAGGAAGACTAAAAATATAGACACCGTTTCTTTAGATACAAACAAGAATTCAATTAATTAAACAATGAAAATAAAGTAAAGTTTAAAATTCGCTTTGTGGGTAAGCAAATGCATCCCACAAAGATTTCATTTTCCTTTCTACTACCTAATTAATTAAACCTTTACTTATATACTTATTTCCATGCCACACCACTCCAAGCGTTGTTTGCTCTCTTCAGTTAATTTAATGCTGGACTGTATAGTACCCGACTATGTCAGATGTCCGATATTCTTAGAACATTGCTACTAAATTTCATTCGGGATATAAGTTTTTCATAATTATTGTGATTCATGATTAAAGCAAATAAGCTATTCATTATTATTATTATTATTAATATTAATATTAATATTAATATTAATATTAATATTAATATTAATATTATTATTATTATTATTATTATTATTATTATTATTATTATTATTATTATTATTATTATTATTATTGTCTACTATCTCGCTGAACACTTAACTACTATCTCCGTCTTAAAGAGTTGCTTCCCAAAACAAAACGGTTTACGTATGAAGCAACTACCCTCTAACCGTTAATTTATTATTGTGTTTGCCCTATTCTATCTAACCTACGAAATGACCTCAATCGCAAATTAATGCATTTACTATTATTAAGCCTGCCGATGCGAATTGGGTCATTGTAGGAACCTTTTATCCAGTTTAATCCTTGCCGGCGGGGCGCCACAGAGTTGTTTATATTTATTGGGTGTCTCATTTCCAGACGGAGCTTACGCTATAGCGGTAAAGTGGTACAAAGACGAGGAATTTTTGGCGGACAGTACCAACGAAACGGTGCTACTCCCGGAAAGGCATACGCTTTGGGAAAATGGATCTCTACAAATTGTAACTGTTCAACCGCTTGACACCGGGGAATACACATGCGAAGTAATCAGACCCGAACCTTGGAGTGCAGTTCGACAAAAACACGCCATTGAAGTATTACGTTAGTAGTAAGAAAATATACATTTGTTTTTTACTCTTGCTGGCTGTTGCAAACCTGAAATCAAAAAAACTTCTTAGAATAGTTTCCTAAGCGCTTTCGTTTCTGATAAATAGAGAGCCAAAAAATCTTTTTTCCGTCATAATTTCTGAATATTTCAACTACACTTGTCACATAAAATATCGCATAAATGGAATATACCTAAAGATTTTCTTGTTGGATTAAACTTAGGAATTTTTAATAATGGTTCTTTTAATTAAAATTAAAAATCGAAACATAATGGGCAAAAATAGTGAAAATTAAGACCATTTTTAGTTGACTTCCCTCATATGTTTTAGACTTCTTTTTATGGGGATATATACAAACAAGAGTATATAAAACACGATACAAGTCTGAAGCAGAAATTCGAGTGGCAGTTGATTTAACTTTCGAAACTCTACGATGGAGACTAAATGCCATTAAAAAATAAAGAAAAATGTATGAGTTTTGCATTCGAGAAAATGGTCTCCAATTTGAACAGTAGTAACTAGTTCATAATCATGGCCTACTGCTTGCTACAAATTAAATAAAATATGAAAAAACTAAATTTTGACAATACATAGCTATATGGTCACATGCAGGAATCTATATTTCTTGTAACTGTCAAATTTATGAATAAATATCAAGAAAAGCTGTGGGTTCTCCATTATCAACTGATATGGCACATATATTTATGCAAGCTTTTGGGAAGAAACCAAACTAACCAAAATTAACTTTTCACTTCACTCAAATTATTTAAAACCATTACATTAGATCTAAACGATATCTTTTTAGTTTTTATGTAGCCTTTTTTATTAAAGTCAGAGAATCATGCATCAAAGCTTCTAATCTTAATTGGAGAATTCTTGTTAGAATATATGTTTCTTGTAACGGTAAAATTTATTAACGAATATCCCGTCCCTTCATCACAACCTTCTAAAGACACTTAAACCAAGCCATTTAAGTCTTTCAAATCATCGAACACATATGCAAGTTGTTAGAAAATATAATCTCAACAAGGGAACAACCGGTCTTAACCGCGACACACCAATATGGGATTCAGTCATCCTAGGCAATATTCATGTCCTTCCTTTAGCTCCGCCCCTCCCAACCTCTATATCAGCGGGTACAAAGTAGAAGGCAAACCCGTTTTATTTAAACTCTGAAGAAGGCAACAGAATGTTGTTCAGCAAGTTCGATTCTTCAACCACCGATGCAGAAGATTTGTAAATTACTTTGTTAATGTTGTTGCAGATCCGCCATCCGTAGAACCATTTCCTCCAACCGGGTTTTTGAAGGTGAAGCTGGGTGAAGAGGTGAGAATGTCCTGTAAGGGTAGGGGGGTGCCATACCCTATAATAACCTGGTCCAGTAAGGCAAGTGTTCATAAGGATGTATTAATCCTCGTCACATTACGATATTATTTAGGGAGAAGAATTGTTGTTGCTCAATAATCGAGAATTGCTGGTTTTCGATGCGTCAGACAGACAGTTGGCCGGAATATATCAGTGCAGAGCGGCAAACGGAGTAGGTGAACCGGCCAAGGCTCAAATCGAACTCAAAATTATTTGTAAGGCATGTTTGATATCTAGTATGGGGAAATATATGAATCCAAGTAAATATCTTTGGAATTTACAGAGGTGTGTAATGTTTGTTTGGTTAAAACATCTTTAATCCAAAAGTTAGTAGCTTGAATTGTGACAAAATGATAATATTTCATGATAGGTTTCTTGAGGTTTTGCTTGTGATAGATCCCGTTGGCTAGTGACAATGTAGGTACAGTTGGCTTCCAAAAAAAAATAGCAATGAGCAATGTATTATACGCTACCATGTCGTTGCCACGCAAACCTCATTGTTTCCATATTTCTAATACCGTCACTGTCAGATAAACAAATTGTCAGCGTTGTCATAAATACATTAGAAAGTAAAAAAAAAGCGTAAAATGGATCTACATACTACTAGTTAAAAGCAAAAATTGTGACCGAGTTAGAAGGTTAGCAGTAACTCATCATTTTAATATAAGCAGAACAACCGTTTTTCCATTAAGAAAAAGTGGAAGCAAGAAGAAACGTTTCCAAGAAAAATGAGATCTGGCAAACAAACTGTTTCAGGCGCTCTTTCGAATAGTTACAAGAACGCACCATAAAGCGCAAGCAAAAGTTTTTTGATAGTCATTTTCCGATGAAGAGATCTTCCAGTCTTCCAAAAAATGTAAAGTCAAAGTGTACAGACCAGACAACCAACGTTTCAAACCTCGGTTTGTCGACAGGTACAAAGTTGCAGCCCAATTCAGTGAAAATGTGTGGTGATGGATTTCTTCCAGAGGAATGGGAATGGTATGGCGGATCGAGAGAAAATTTGGTCAAACTTTTGCCGAAATATTGCAGAACGTTATGGTGTGCAGCCTGGAACAGCTCTACCCTTAAAATAATATTTTCAAATGAAACAACTGTTCTGTCCACGCTGCAAACATTGTTAAACAATGGCTCCAAAACGCCAGCATTGAAACCTTGCCATCTCCAAGTAACAGTCCTAACATTATCCCAATCGAAAACATATGAGGGATAATGCTGAAACGGCTGTAAGATATTTTATGCGTCAAAGCAGGACCTATGGCAAGGTATTCAGGAAGTATGGGAAGAACTGGCGCTTCGAGAAAACTTCATAACTCCTTTGATGACCATGAGCCGAAGAATTCAAGCTGCGATTGATGCGGATGGAGATTGCACTAAATACTGAATTCCTTCCAAGTGTTTCTTCTTGTCCTGTTTATTCTAAAATGTTGGGTCATTGTTGATAAGGAACAACCATCTTCTAAATTCATTACATTTAAATCTATTTAAATAATAAATCTATTTAATAAATCAACAAAAGTCAAATTTGTTTAGTTTAGAATGGTAACATTTGTCAGAACAACCAACAATAAACAATAAAGTTGAACAAAACACTGAATACTCTAATGCCTACATAATATATGTATCTTCATTAGTATTACACTGCGTACCAAATATCATTATTGAAGATTTTTTTTGCATTAATTTCTAAATTATGATTATTTAAAAACTGTATTTCTTCATTTATTAATATTTGTGCCCTGTTATGAAAGGAGAAAATGAAAGCTACAATAGCGTAAAGGTGTATGTTGCAGAACCGCAAACACAAAATTAAAATTAAAAAAAAATCATTTCATATATTCATTGGTGTCTAAGTTATAGCATGTTGGGGAAAAGCATGACGTTCCGGACAGGTATTTATATTGCAGAAGCGAATCATTAGAACAATGCTATATAAACCTAGGTTTTTCTCTTTTCGTCTACGGTTACTGAGCAATTTTGATTTTAAAAAATCTGAAACATTAATTGTATATAGTTACCAATAATCTGGTTGTTTTGCCAATAAATCTTTTTAATCATTTGCCTAAAACTTTTTAATCATTTGCCTACTTTACTGAAACAGAGACATAGCGCTGGTGAGTATAAATATGTGGTAAAAACCAATTTAGTTCGTCATTGCTTTTATAGCTTAAATGATATTTTTGACTGTGATAACATATTGTAATTGTTTTTGTAGCTCGCGGTTTCTTCAGCAACTGAACAAAGTAAAACAGAAAATGAAGCAAAATTTCTCTTTGAATTTTGTTTGTAAAATAAGGTCAAGTTTATATGAACGGGTACATTTAATGCAGAAAACTGCAAAATATTTCTAATATTATTATTTTTTTTTTTTTTTTTGGACATACACCTCATGTACTGTATGTACTGAAGTCAAGATGTCAAAAATATGAAACAATTTCTCACTTAAGTATTGCACTTTTGAGTTAATTCCGTCCAAATCAGATATTCTAAGTGTGCATTCAGTAAAAAAATATTTGAAAGTTCGTTATCAATATCCATAACATTCCTGATTTTAATTATATTTTTGGAAATTTAAGTTTGTTTGCCTATATTACAACCAGTGAGTGGTCACGTATATGATCTGTATTCATTTACCCGTACTCCACTTCCTCCATTTTTGAAGTTATAATGACATCAAGTAGTGTTGAAGATGTTTGTGTTAGTTATTATTTTCAGTTCATAATACACTTTCATGGAAACAATTTTTGGAACATCTCAATTTCAAAGTTTGTAGTATATGTATATTTAGTTGGGTCCACATATTTACCCTCATCGGTATACGTGTTTGGCGTAGAAAATTTTTCGTTTCTAGATCCTCCGGAAATTATCACTTCCCGATCTTGGATACACACTGCACCAGGTCACAGGGCTCAGTTAGAATGTAGAGTATCAGCGGATCCTCAAGCCAGCGTTACGTGGCTGAAGGGGGAAGTTGTAGTTCCGTTGGACAGCAGAGTGGTCGCTATGGTGGACGGTGACAAATACATTCTTCTAATTAGAAATGTCCAAAGGAGTGATTTTGGAATCTACACCTGTCGGGCCCTCAACGAGCTGGGCCAGGGCGAGGTACAAATTCAACTCTCGGGAGTTCCAAATCCAGGAGTGTTTAAGAAAGCACCCGAAGACCACACGAACTTTAGAAACACCTACACCCTCATTTGGGAGGTGGATAGTTATACGCCGATTATCGAGTACAACTTATGGTTCAGACCTTATAAAAGTCAGAGGGGGATTAATAAAATCGACTGGACGAAGCTTACGATTCCAGCCGAGCACAGTTATGGTCCAGTTTACTCCAAATCATATACCCTGAGAGGGCTGCAGGAGAGAATGATCTACGAGGTGTTGTTGGTTTCCAGGAACCGTTTTGGTTGGTCGAAACCGTCGCCAATTTTAAGGTTTGCAACGGCGGGAGCTGGTGAGTGTCTGATTAAGACATGAATTTTGGTATTAGTTCAAACTAAGTTCCAAATACTTAAATTTCGTGAGAGAGGTTGAGAATTATACGTTTAACTTTAGATTTTACACTCAAATTTATTAAATAATTAGTTATTGAGGCCAATTTAACTACAGTAATTTCCATTAAATGCTTTTTTCGTTTCAGAATTGCAAGAAGATATGATAACCACCGTGCAAATCAGTGTTCGAGATGATGAAAATTTAATTCCCTTAAACCTAACGTCTAGATCTTCCCAATTATATAATAGGTCACTTATGCTGTTATTTCCAATTAGTGTATTACTTTTTTTAACATAAATGCGATATAAAATTGATCGATTTGTGCTTTCATTTAGCATATTATGCAACAAGTCTGATAAAGGGCATTTTTATCAAGAGTTATTTAAAAAGATGTTACTCTGGGACCATCACCAAAAAAAATACAATTTAGCGGGTGTGCTATTTTTGTTTCTGTTTTGTTGTGTGCACTGGCAATTATTGAATACGTCGTCTAAATAAAATAATATATCACTTTAAAATATGTTGTTATATTGTATTCATTTATGTATGTATTTTATGTATATACAATAGGCAATTGGAGGACAGATGATCCATGACGAGTATTGATACGAAGTGGCGAACGAAAAGGATCATGTTTGCATAGAAGTGTCTTTATTAATTTAATTAGTTTAATGACATCTATCTACATTTATATCCAGGGTGCTTTCCAATTGAATGTCAATAACTTTTTGGGTCTATTTAAAAAAAAAACCTTCATAAGAACTGTCGAGATACAGGGTGGTAAAATTTTGTAAAATAAAATATATTTTTTCAATATGTGCAATACCATTTTAGATATTTTAATGAAATATGGCATACATGTACTATATATCAAGAGGCATTATTTAGTGTACAGGAATTTTTTTCACCTATTTGGCAGACATTGATGGTACGCCACTCAGTTCTCTTAAAACAAAGTTTATTCTCCAATCGTTTCCAAAGAAATTTTTTGATTTTTTTCAACCCGATATACGGTTTTCGTTTAAAGAAAAATATGACAGCATGCATAGATAATAGTTTTTATTTTTTAGTGAAAAGAAATATGGTTACTGCGGAAATTTCTGATTGCATTTCTGAAAAAGTTAGCTTTATCTGTAAATAGTATTTCTTGGTCTGACAAAAGTTAACACTCTTACGAAAGTCTCTGGGAAATAAGGCTGGGATTCGTTGAATATCATATATGAAATTCAAGTTGCACAGCGAAATAACCCTCCTTTGTCTTAGTTTTTCATAACACTTGGTGGCTGTAAAGGTCTCCTTCCCGTAAAGGTGTATGATATTCTCACGTATTGATTCACGGATGGAAAAATGTGATGACACTATACTCCGGGATATCATCCGTTCGCTCGTTGAACTCCGACTGGAATCCTGCATCCGACTGGAATCCTGCAAATCCTGCATCCGACTGGAATCCTGCAGACGTTTCGCCAAAATCTCACTTGGCATCTTCAATGCTCGCGCTCCGAAAACACTTCGAACACTGGGAGGTTATCGGCGGTGCGTGCGGTATTTATACTCTACGCCGGAGATGGTAACGGTGCTGCTTGTGCGTGGGGGGAGGTGGCTCCGCCCCCTGAATTGTCGCGTTGTTAATTTCGCCCGATCGTAGTTGCGATGTCCCCGTTGGCTGCTGCGCATCGCTCTGCTGTTTGATTATCGTTCTCCACGTGTTGGATAAATGCAGAGCGTCGTCTCTCGTATTGAGGTGTCCGGACTTTTCTATTTCGATGGCCTCTCGTATAATCCTAGTCCTAAAATCAGGAATATTAGCTATTTGTTTGCAAGTGCCGAAATCAATTTTATGGCCTCTCTGATGTTGGTGCTGAAACAAAGCAGATGTTGTTTGTTTGTTTCTTATGGCTAAACGATGTTCCTCGAGCCTGGCTGAAATCCTTCTGTTGGTCTGTCCCACATACGTCAGGCTGCACGATCCGCATGCTACAGATATCTATTAGTGTGTGTTGGTTTTCTATAGACAGTGTGTTCCAAGTGTCCATCTTCGGTCTTTGTGATGTGCACATCTAAAAAGGGCAGACTGTTATCCTCTTCAAGTCCTATTGTAAATTGAATCCTTGGGTGGATGGAATTCAGATGATCTAGGAATTTCAAAAGCTCCTCCTTGCCAAAAGGCCATACAACAAATACGTCATCAACGTATCTTGTCCATAGTTTTGGCTTCAGATTTGCCTTCTCTATTGCTTTCTTTTCGAAGTAAATCATGAAGAGGTTAGCAATCACAGGTGAGAGAGATGATCCCATTGCTGCTCCATCTATTTGTCGGTAAATTTTCCCGTTGTGCATAAAGTAAGCGTTTTTCAGGCAATGTCTTGACAGATTCATTATGTATGGCGGAAGATCTTCGTTTTCTTCTATAAGCAAGAGTGCCTCTTCTACTGGAATACTCGGGTAGAGGGATTTGACATCGAAACTGGCCATAATGTCGTCCTTGTCCATCCTGAGAGAACCTAAGATCTGAGTGAAATGTTCTGAGTTTTTAACATAGGAATCTGCCTTTTCCACTATAGGCTGAAGTGCACTGGCCAGATGTTTTTCCAGCTTGCATAATGGTGAGTTAAAGGCGCTTACGATTGGACGCAGGGGAACCCCGTCCTTATGGATCTTTGGGAGCCCGTAGAATTTTGGGCAACGACTCGATTTTTCCCTCGGAATAAGTTTCTTCTTTGTATCCTCGTTTATTGATGAATCGAGAATTTTGGACTTAGTTGTTTTTTCCAAATATGTCGTGGGATCTCTGGTGACTAGTTTGTATATTGGGTCGTTCAAAATATCCTCCAATTTTGCATTATAATCCGACGTATTCATGACGACAGTGGCATTTCCTTTGTCTGCTGGCATTATTAGAATGTTTTCGTTTTTGTTTAGATTCCTTAAGGCTTGCATTTCTTCTCTGCTTAAGTTTGGCTGCGGTGGTTTTGACTGTCTTAAGACTCTGGCGACATCTTGCCTAATTAACTCCGCATCTTGTTCGTCTATGGTGGAAAGACTTGCTTCGACGTTGGAAACGATCTCTTTGACGGGTACTCTTTTTGGAGCTATTGCATAGTTAAATCCTTTATTCAGTACGCTGACTTCTGTATCGGAAAGATGGTATGCTGAAATATTATGAACTGTATTGCTTCGGTTTGTATTTGGCACTTGTCCTGATTTTTTTGAATTTGACTGAAGGATTTCTAATTTCTTCCACAGTTTTTTTGACGTGATGTCCTTGTCTTTCTCAGTGCGCCATGATGTTAATAATTCTATGCGGTCCCACAGCAACTGATGGATCTTGTTGCTCAGTTTCAGGTGGAGTCTGAAAAGTTGTAGCTCAGTCTCACTAATTTCGTACCGGGTCCGCCTGATCTGGTCTTGGAGTAGGGCCTTGCTAGCTTTGTCCAGGATAGCTTGTGTCTTTCTGGTGCGTGTATGATAAGACAACCTTGTAAATGTTGGCAGCAAGTTCTGGTTGCGGCAGTTTTTAAGAAAATGATTTACTTCGAAAAGAAAGCAATAGAGAAGGCAAATCTGAAGCCCAAACTATGGACAAGATACGTTGATGACGTATTTGTTGTATGGCCTTTTGGCAAGGAGGAGCTTCTGAAATTCCTAGATCATCTGAATTCCATCCACCCAAGGATTCAATTTACAATAGAACTTGAAGAGGATAACAGTCTGCCCTTTTTAGATGTGCACATCACAAGGACCGAAGATGGACACTTGGAACACACTGTCTATAGAAAACCAACACACACTAATAGATATCTGAACGCTAAATCTCATCACCACCCATCACAGATACAGGCAGTGGCAAATACATTAATTGCTCGGTCCTTCAGGCTCACAAACGAGAGGAACAGAGATAAAGAACTGAAGAAAATTAGTACCTGTCTTCGACAAAACGGATACCAAAGGCGTACCATCAGCAAGGCAATCAGTAAACAACAACAGCCGCAGCAGAGAGTGCAGGACGAGACCCAACGAAGATCGATCGCTGTCCTGCCATACATCAAGGGGGTTACTGACAAAATCGGCCGAATATTACGGAAAAACGCAATATCAACGGCATACAAACCTGACCATACCATCGGAGCAATACTAAGAAACCCAAAACAAAAAATTACTCTGGAAAACCAAGGAGTATACAGTGTAGCATGCGGATCGTGCAGCCTGACGTATGTGGGACAGACCAACAGAAGGATTTCAGCCAGGCTCGAGGAACATCGTTTAGCCATAAGAAACAAACAAACAACATCTGCTTTGTTTCAGCACCGACATCAGACAGGCCATAAAATTGATTTCGGCACTTGCAAACAAATAGCTAATATTCCTGATTTTAGGACTAGGATTATACGAGAGGCCATCGAAATAGAAAAGTTCGGACACCTCAATACGAGAGACGACGCTCTGCATTTATTCAACACGTGGAGAACGATAATCAAACAGCAGAGCGATGCGCAGCAGCCAACGGGGACATCGCAACTACGATCGGGCGAAATTAACAACGCGACAATTCAGGGGGCGGAGCCACCTCCCCCCACACACAAGCAGCACCGTTACCATCTCCGGCGTAGAGTATAAATACCGCACGCACCGCCGATAACCTCCCAGTGTTCGAAGTGTTTTCGGAGCGCGAGCATTGAAGATGCCAAGTGAGATTTTGGCGAAACGTCTGCAGGATTCCAGTCGGATGCAGGATTTGCAGGATTCCAGTCGGATGCAGGATTCCAGTCGGAGTTCAACGAGCGAACGGATGATATCCCGGAGTATAGTGTCATCACATTTTTCCATCCGTGAATCAATACGTGAGAATATCATACACCTTTACGGGAAGGAGACCTTTACAGCCACCAAGTGTTATGAAAAACTAAGACAAAGGAGGGTTATTTCGCTGTGCAACTTGAATTTTCTTAAAAACTGCCGCAACCAGAACTTGCTGCCAACATTTACAAGGTTGTCTTATCATACACGCACCAGAAAGACACAAGCTATCCTGGACAAAGCGAGCAAGGCCCTACTCCAAGACCAGATCAGGCGGACCCGGTACGAAATTAGTGAGATTGAGCTACAACTTTTCAGACTCCACCTGAAACTGAGCAACAAGATCCATCAGTTGCTGTGGGACCGCATAGAATTATTAACATCATGGCGCACTGAGAAAGACAAGGACATCACGTCAAAAAAACTGTGGAAGAAATTAGAAATCCTTCAGTCAAATTCCAAAAAATCAGGACAAGTGCCAAATACAAACCGAAGCAATACAGTTCATAATATTTCAGCATACCATCTTCAATCAAATCATCAAATCAAATACCGATGAAATCTTCAAACTCTTATCCTAAGCCACATTTTATGAATCCAAACCCGCAGCAAACTCATCACGTAAACTCAAACCCGATCTACATCGACGGTTATTCCGGAAATTCCCAGGAATTTTCACATGAAAATTACACTCTTCAAGAAGATAAT